GGGGGGCATTTCTTGCCGTTGCAGCAGCCCGGGGTCCCAGGACAGCATTCATCGTTGCAGCACTGTCCATCGCAACACACCCCGGTTCCGCAGTGCCCATCGTCGCAGCATGCCTTGCACACTCCGTTGCAGCATTGGGTGCCGTGGGGGCATTTCTTGCCGTTGCAGCAGCCCGGGGTCCCATGACAGCATTCTCCGCCGCAGTTTCCGTGGCAGTCCCCACCTGTGCATTGAGGAGGGGTAACGCCACCCACACCACACCCCCCCTCTGGGCACACAATAATGGTAGGCTTGCACCATCCCATCTCGCATCCATGGCCATCTCCACAGTCTGAGTTGCCACTACATGCGGTACATGGGCCATTTCCGCACATGGGGATCACCACAGCTCCTCCCGCATCTGCACCCCGGCTGAGCAGGGCAGCCACAAGAAAGAAGACCGAAAATAGACAGGGGCCACTCTTCGCCATGGTTGCGTCTCTGAGAATGAGTCCAACTTGGGGACGAATCTGCAAAGAATATCCACATGAAGACAAGAAAGCAAATGAAGTGGCATGTGGCAAATGGTTAGCTCATCTCTGAAACACGTCAATGGAGTTGCAGCCAACGACAACCTGTTAGAGCAGAGTCACGTCCAAACAAAGAAGGGAACATTTATTAAAAACACCCACGGCAGCTCTGTGTATTGTTTCGCCCCCCAAACGGGGCAAAAGTGTGGGAGGCCCCAAAACTAACCTTTACGTCGAGTCATAAACTCCGAGGTAGCAGTCCCTCCGACACACTATGGCACTTCGTTCAATTTAATGAAGGGGCAATTGCAAAAATAGCGCGTTCTTGAAGTTTGGCAGCAGAAATGTTATACGGGTCCGAAACATCTTTTTTTGCAAGCAAAGTGGGGCCCCGGCAGCAAATATTTTTGCTGTGAAACTACCGGGACCTCTAAAGCTACAACGAAAGATACATTTTTGCAACGAAACTTGGGCCCCGCCAATATTTTTGCTGCCAAACTTCAACAGGCGCGCTATTTTTGCAATGGATAGCGGCATGCTGACACTACGACTTTTCTGAATGTATATATCCGCTTTTCCAACCCGGTCTGGGTGCCTATGCTGAATGTATATTACCACAATTACGTCCAGGCTGAACGTGAAAGAAGTCCTGTGTGACTATGCCCCCCCTAACTGTGAGTCTACTCCCAAGAACACACCGCCATTGGCACGGACAGTCTGAGCTGCTTACTGGGCACTCGCCCCAACGCTGCGCTTTACCGGGCACTGCCTCGACAGATCGGGTTCTGACGGAACAAACAAAGACAAAACGTTCAGAAAGCAAGTCACCTCAAAGTCGTGTGCACATTCATTTGATCGATGCGATTACGAATTTTGCCCCCACTGGCAGCTTGACACAACTGAGCAGTGCGTGTATGGATTGCCGCCAACTCGAGGCAATTCAGCAAACAAAACAACCAGAAGAACGAAAGAAAAAAGAAGCAAAAGAGAAAGAAAGAAAGAAAGAAAGAAAGAAAGAAAGAAAGAAAAAGAAAGCAAAAGAGAAAGAAGAAAGAAAGAAAAAGGAAGACGACCCACCGTACAGTGCGGGGCGTGTGACTTAAACGTAATCAAAGTAATGCGCTTTGATATTCGGTTGCAGCGACAGACGTTGATTCTAGTCGTTTCCACTCAACTCGTCTCATTGAAACCGCCCTGCCAATATTACGGCTGAACTGCCGCAGACGGAGGAAACATTCTTTGAGACCATGGTGACTTTTCATTAGAGGAAGGGTATGATCAGGAACTCACATCCCTGTTGCGGTTAAGGCCGATGCCAAAGCCCCTACGAAGGCAGCCCCACGTTTGAGCCACACACACACACACACACACACACACACACAGAGCGAGCGAGCGAGAGAGAGAGAGAGAGAGAGAGAGAGAGAGAGAGAGAGAGAGAGAGAGAGAGAGAGATGGCGTGGAACTGGCGGGTGGCACAAACAGAGATTGATTATCAAAATGAAAAGACATCTGAAAGCTGCTACGGGGAGAGTGTGACAGTTGATAAGTGAAGAGTCTGAAGGAGAAGGATACAATGCTTTGCAACGCCCGCGCTAAAATTGGAACGGTACAGAGCTGAGCTGACATTACAAGATTAGCACGGGCGCTACACCGTTGGAACTTAGACGTCCGTCTCCCAAAAGAATACGCAATGCTCATCGAATTCGATTGCCATGACTACCGTAACAATCTCTTCGCGGCGGGTATCCTCCATCCCATCGCACAAAAGACAGTTGAGAAATGACGTCCCGCCAAATCCTCCTCGCAGACAACTAGCTTTACGAAGCCGAGCACGACGGCAGCAAATCCTGCGGAATCGTCCAATCGCAAATCCGACAAAGAGCATACTCGCACACTACGATGTCATCTACGTATTCACACACAACGGTAGGTGACTAGGAGTTCCATTGATATGTACGACCGCAATTACGACTAGCCATCGACGTATTTAGCACCTATCTCCTCTTAAAACGCCTAGTGTGTGAGCATTGCCAAAGAGAGGACATCGCTTGGAAATGCAAGTCTTTCCCCCCCGACACACACACACACACACACACACACACACACACACACACACACAGAGAGAGAGAGAGAGAGAGAGAGAGAGAGAGAGAGAGAGAGAGAGAGNAGAGAGAGAGAGAGAGAGAGAGAGAGAGAGAGAGAGAGAGAGAGAGAGAGAGAGAGAGAGAGAGAGAGAGAGGACGCGAAGGGAAGAGTGGAGCAGAAGACGAAGCAGAACCGACAAGACGAAGGAAGGGCATCCTGAGTACACCAGGAAGGCCAACAGGAACGAGAAATGAGAGACGCGGGCGAGTTGCGAATCGCTAACCGGAGCGTACTTGGCAGTGTTGACGAAGAGTGAGCCCTCCACGCAGTCGATATCCGACTCCGTAGCTGACAGTGTCTGCTTGAGTTCGTGATGCATGCCAGTGCAGGGTGCGTTTTTATAGAGGCGGTTTCGCCCCTTCTCCTTCATCTCCAAGTTTCAATCACTTGAACCTCCTCCACACAGCAAGGGCATACGCACAGTGTCACTTTCTTGGAATGGGTGTACCACTATACCTGACAGCCACAGTGCCCACATTTAGTCGAGAGCATTTCCATTCTGAGTATCAGAGGGTATACGCACAGAGTCACTTTCTTGGAATGGGTGTACCTGACATCCATAGTGCCCAGACCCATGCTGCCCTGCTTTGTCACTTAATTTTGAAATTTTTTTTCCATAGTTAAAACTTTAAGGGATTCTGGTTGTGGTTTCCATCAGCTGCTGCTCGCCATCAATCAACTGGATCATTGGTTTGAATAGTGATTTAAGAAAAGAAAAAAAAATGAAATAATAAAAAATAAAAAATAAAAAATAAAAATCTAGGCTACCAGCCAGTCCCGGGCCACCTTGTTTCCCCGGGCAGCCCGGCCGTGCAAGGACGGGGGAAGGTCCCAGGGAAAAAAAAAAAAAAAAAAAGCGAGATACACGTATGTAATGCAGAAAAATAAACGGAACAACTTTTGCCTCAGGGTCACATCAAAATTCTTTACCAAATTCAAAAAGAAAAAAAAGAATCAAATTTTTATTTTTAATGATAATAATCAGGGTCACCAGCCCGTAGGGGCGTTCGGGGTCCGAACCCGCCGTCCGGGTCCGAACCCGAAGGAGTTCGGCCCCCACCAAAAATTGTTTCGGGGCCTAAAAATACGTTTTTTTTCCTGATTTTTTTCACAGGGTACATGGCTATAAATTTTGAAGTCATTTCGTTAAGCCAAAAAAAGAGAAAAAATCGCCAAAGATGGCAGTGTCAAAACGTGCTCGCGCACTCACTATATTTTGTTTTTTTTCTCATCTTCCTTTTTGTTTTCACTTTATTGGGGGCCCTAAACAATCTTATTATTTTTTGAAACGTTTTTTAAAGGGTTTTGTATTATGTGAAGCACACATCTGTCAATTTTCAGGGCATTTGGCTGTGCCAAAAAAACATGAAAAATCGTCAAAGATGGGGGTGTTGAAAAACTGCTAGTGAAAACCTGCTAGCTCACTCACTAATTTTAATTCGCTTTTCATTTTTTCTTATTTTTCTTATTAGTTTTATTTTCTTTATTTTATTTGTATTTCAAATTAGGTAAGGAATTTGGATGTAATGCTCAGGCAAATGTTGTTTATTTTATTTTTCTTCATAGTACATTACTTTTTCAGATTTTTTTATTATTATTATTTTTTTTTAATTTTTATTTTTTTGGCGGCCGAACGCATCCCCAAGGGGTCCCGTAAGTTCATGCGTTCGGCTTTGGGCGCTCGGCCCGTCCCGAATGCCAGTTACCCTGATAATAATAATAATAATCATAATCATAATAATAATAAAAATAATAAAATAAATAAATAATAATAATAATAATAGAACCTGAATATCAACTGACTCTGCCTTATTGAGTTTCTCGCCATTGGCCTCATGTACCTTCCTGGGCAAGCTCGACGCCGCCCACCTAGAGACCGTTCCCGCCCGGAGCGGCATTGAGCAGCAACTGGTCCATCGAAGAAGCTTGGTCCTGAAGCTAGCGGCTGACTCCTGACCGGTATCACCCACCTACAGGTCGGGCTGCACACCCTTCCCTCGTTGGAGGCTTGAACTCGGGGGGGCTACCACAGGGGACCCCAGTACTAAAATGATAATAAAAAAAGGCTTGAAAGGCCTCCCCGTCAGATCAGATTCTACAGGTGATTGTATAATTTTGTATGATTCGGGCAACCACCAGTACCTTTCCCACCGAAAATAGCGGGCCTCGTGTAGGCCTCCTACCTTTCCAGAGGCCGAAACGACATGACGGCTGCCGATCGGATTTATCAAAGGCAGTCTTCGTCGGACCCCACCTCCGAAGATTCAGGAGTTTGGGAAAACTGCCAGTTTTCCCTATTTTCCCACGTGGGAAAGGTACTATTACCTTTTTCAAAAAAGAAGAAAAGCAAAGAAGTTTCTCCTCACGCGGCATTCCTTACAGATTGTGAGGTGCATCTCCCACCTCTGTTCCTGTCCGAGTTTGTTGTGACCGCACCGTTTCATGAACTTGACACAATTTTGGAGGACGGATGTGAAAACATTTGATGTAGCAGGCTGTAGTAGTCCGGTGCTGAACGCTACAGAAGATTGGTACCTTCTGTTGAGGCTTCTGAGAACATGCGGACACTCAACATGATCCTAAATCGGCACAATTTTTGGCAGTGCTTCCCTCCTGATCCTCTTTGCAAGAGTTTCCCCTGTTCCACTTGCCCGGAGTTTTTCACTCTGGGGCCTACAGGCTACAGGACAAGGATCAACGGACAGAAATACCCAATCGGGGTACTACTGGGTGGAAGCCTGTTTTTCCTGTTTCTAAAGAAACAGCATGATACAACTCCTGTATGATGATCCTGGTGGTGGCGAGAGAACAACCTGGACTGAGTGTGGCAGATGGGATGGCTCATTGCAAGTCTATTGGTGCGGAGCTGCACCTGCTGGAAAACCGGCCCAGCATCCCCATGATTACTGCAGCAGTTCTGACATGCCAATGTGCTGATGATGGTCTGATAACTCTGATCTATAATTAGCCATATAGCGAAAGAGATGGAACCGATTTGGTTGGGGAGCCTACCTCTTCAGCCTGGCTTTGGTAGCTCCAAGGCTCTGTTCCTGGTTGGGAGGGAGGTCCCCCTTGTGTGCATTCTTCGTTCTATAGACCTCTGACCTATTGCAAACTATTTCACAAATGGTTAACAGGTACCCCCACTTTTCACCCCTAGGGTAACCTTCACCACTTTGAAAAGTGCAGTACGGAGTGTGAAGTATGGTTAAAATGGCCCTTTGGTTTTCTTATAAATGGGGGTGAAAATTGGGGGGTCGGTAACCTTCTGTCAACTATTTACACCCCGAAAGTTTTAAGGGGTAACTATGCGGGAGTCACAAAAACGAGCTATAATTGCACTATCATAATGCACTGGGGCAAGATACAGTGTGGAATTGCAGTTCGGGCACCCTACCTGGCCAGAAAGCTGTGACGAACCACTTTCTGTAACTCGCTGCGCGGTTGCAACGAGGGGTCCTAAGCTGGGAAGGTTGGGCCAATTACGGGAGATCAAGATTGGTGGGAAATTGCATCAGTGCCCTTGCTTTTCGTCCTTTTCGTCGCTTCTTTTCATATGGCTGGGTTCGGAGCTGGGTGTGTCCGGGGACGGCCGGTTGATTGATTGGTCGGTTGATGGCATCGCGCGACTAATAAATGTTGACGTCGTTTCTTCCGTTTCGGTTTCGGCCTTTTGGGCGCGAACATCGCTCGGGAATTTGCCTCGTTCTTTTTAAAATTTTCTTTTTCAATTTTGTCGAGCCCCGATAGCTCTCGGAATTTCGGACTTTCCCCCTGAAGTTCGTGCTTTTTGCTTTTTCACATTAGATAGGAATTTAGGATTTCAGTAATTAGTATTTTTCTGTCGCGCGGCGCCTTTTGTCTACGCGCTTCTTCATGCAGCTGCAACGGTATTCGGATTAGTGGGCGCCCTTAATCGCGTGTGTAACTGTAACTTTGGGCGGGCGCCATCGTAACTGTATCTTTCTTCTTGCACTTCGTCTCTCCCGCCCTCCCTCTCTTTCTTTTGCTGTGATTTTTATAAGCCGCGGCTTGCATGCTCGGATCGATGCGTGGAGAAGGGCTACGTCCCCCACGCCGCGGCCTGATCATGCAGAACGCAGGCACTCCCTCTCTAATCCCCGTTCTAAGTCTTGGTAATTCCGTGTTCTTCGCGCATGCATGCACGCTATAAAATCTGGCTGCGCGATTAGTTAGCTCTCTTAGCCCGTTGTTGGAAGCTCGGGGTTGCGCGATCAGGAAGGGTCGACACACGAGCGAGGAAAGAGGTGAGTAGAGTAGGAGTTGGGCGACCCGACGGGCTGGTGCCGAACGCGCGGGATTGACGTGGGCCACGACGGACTGTGGGCACGAGCGAATCCGACGGGTGCGGGAGGACTAAGCGAGGTGACGACTTCGTGGGTTGGTGCCTGACGACGGACTGTCCGCATTGAAGAAGAAAGAGAAGAGGAGGAGAGAGAGTTGAGGTTGATGGACGCGGGTTTGCTGTTTCTTTGTCTCTTCCCCCTCTTCATCTGTGTACATACATTTTGATTGCGGCTTCGGGCGGTTGCCCGTTCTTGTTTTTCGTCTCGGCTTTCTGGAATCAGGACTTGGGTTTTTGCTCACACTTGTCTTTGCGATTTCCGTCTCGATTGCATTATGTGTATGATTACTGAATGTATGGAGGTATGGATGCTATACCTGCTTGTCTATCTTTCGCTGAAAATCCTTGTCCTTGCTCTTGTTTATGACGAATCATCGCCTACACCTGATACAGCTGTAGAGAGGATAAGAACTGGGCCCCGATAGCGATTTTGTTCTCGTTGTTGCTTGGGTTGGGGTGTGGTTGCATCTCGTATAACG